TGCTTTGATATTCTCCAACTGAATAATCTCCTCATTAACTCGTTATACTCTATTTGATGAACTTCATTGAGAGTAATTCTAAAAATTTAAAAGTATTAATTAATTTATATAAATAGTTATCAACAAAATCAAACCCTGTAATAAGGATTGATAGAGTATTATTTAAGAGAATTAGCATTATTTGGCTGGCAAAAAAAGAGCAGCGAACACATGGCGAAAGTAGAGAGCAATTAGAGAGTGTCCCCTACTTGAGGTGTCGAAAGGAGTCATAAAAGGGAAATGTGGTGATCATGAGCTTTCCAGGGCTTCAACTCAACCCTCCACATTCTTCACATACAATATTCTTTCCTTTTCATTATCACAATTGTCCTGTCCACTTTCTCTATCCCATTGACATATAACTCTATTCAAGATTTTCTGTCCTCCATGTGATGCAGATTCCAGATATTCAAAAATAAAGTTTAACTGAAATCTATAATAAATCAACACAATCATAAGCAATTGAAGGAGCTAGGGGAGGACGTTGCATTTCCCATGCCCCAGATTTTAATTTTTTTTACTAATATTATATTATCTCCTGTCGTTATTATATATAATAGCTAGTTTGACATTTAATTTGGTTCTAAATATAAAATCCGATACACTTTACTCTTATGTTTCTCCATTTTTTTCTTAAGATAATTCTTGCAGTAGTTACACATATTAAATGTTTCATCAAATGGTAGGCAAGACAGCATATATTTATTACAAATAATTAACTTAATAAATAAATTTTTTTAATATACTTAAATTAGTCAACTATCTCTTACATTCCTCCTGTTCTTAATAATATAAGAGCTAGTTGACTAATTTGAACAAATTAAGAAAATTAGTTATGCTAGTTATTTGTAATAAATAAATGTTGTCTTTCCTAAAATATCCTTGTTAATTAAGTGTATTGATTAAAACTATCATTATTACAAAAAATACCTTAGAAAAAAATGGATAAATAAAAAAGATAATGTAGATTGGAGTTTTATATTTATGACCAAAATAAAAATCAAACGAGCTCGTATATTAAGGACCGGAAGTAGTATAAGAGTTAGTTAACTAATTTGAGCAGATGAAGAAAATTAGTTAAGTTAGTTATTTGTAATAAATAAGTATTGTATTTTCTAAAATACTCTTAGTAATCAAGTATATTAACTAAAACTATCATTTGATAAAACTCTTAACATGTACAAGTACCACAAGGACTATCTTGAGAAAAATAAATAAATATGAGAGATAAAGTGAATTGAGGTCTTATATTTAGAATCAAATTAAAAGTTAAACTAACTTTTATATTAAGGATCAGAAGTAGTATAAGAATCATTTGGCTCTTTGAGATTTGTACAAACTTAACATCATAGACCTTGAAGAGTTAATAATTTCTAAATTTTTTTTATTTTGATCAAACCTGTTAGAGATGAATTATAAATAGGATCAAAATTATATGTGTGTGTGTGTGTGTGAGCAGGTGGCAAATTGAAGGAAGGATATGGATGACGTTTGGTTTGATGGTGCCATGTGAGTTATGTGATCATAAATACATGGAAGTGGAGGCTGTGGGAAACACGATCGAGACAGTACTATGAAACCGCAATTTGTGAGCCTTTGCCCAGCACGGACCACATCACTTCATGTGTATGCCTTCTTTTCTTTTGCGGTCACATCTTAACTTCTTCCCTCTCACACCCAAATCATTCACAACCATTTATTTTTTTAAAAGAAAAATTGCTCAAAAATCTCTCATTACAAAATTTATTATCCAAAATTACTTAAATTAAAGGTCCAGGTTCTCGAGTGAGTGCATGCAACTCATCTTTTACAACTGCATTATCATATTTTTAATTTTGTGCAAATCTCTTTTGTTTACATAATTGAAAATAGGTTACACACTATTTTTAAACAAATTTCAAATACTTTTTAACAATATATTTTGTAATGGGTGCTTTTTCAGCATTTTCTCCCTTTTTATGTATTTTTCCCTTGGCGAGACACATGTATGCTTCAGTGATAACGAAACTTAATCCCTTAACTCTTAGCGATGACGGAATAAAGAGTAAACCGCTTCCAAGAATTTTTGCTTCATATACAAAGACTATCCCAATTTATTAGCATATTAAAAAGGAGTCTAGGATAATTTTAAGGGAAAATCACCCAAAAAAATTTTTAAATTTTAAATCAGGAATGATTACAAAAATTGTTGTAATTTGCTTTTCATATGTTGCCATTTATTATTAAATTTTTGTAAACCAGATTTAAAATTTTGAAATTTAAATGTATTTTTTTGGAGATTCTCTCTAATTTTAGTACATGTAAATAATTAAATGAAATATTTTAGCAAAAATAATACACATCTATGTATCAATAACTAATTTAACTAGTTTTCTTAATGTTTATAATTAGCTGCTAATAACAACAGATACCCGAACTTAGCATTCAATATTGTTGATTAATAAAAATTTCAGTTATATTATAGGCCTAAATAGAAAAAGCTCTTCTAATATCTAACATTATTTTCTCTTTACAAAATTTGAACTTTCGAACTTTATTGAAAGAAATTAAAATCGAGTCCTTGTTACCTACGTTTCACTCACTTTCGGTAACATCACATCTTTTTTTTTTGGGACCGAAGCATCACATCTATATATGTTTGGTTGCTAGCCGTGGCCCTCTTTTTAATAACCGGCTTACATAAATTCAAACGCATCCTCCACGACAATGATCATTCTGTTTGTTCCAACTTTTGAGCTTTTGTTTTGAGGTTTCAAAGAAGAACAGGTGTGGTTCGCCCTGATATATACATCCACAATCACCAATTTGTTATGCGCAATTCATCAATGACTACCCAATATATCTATATATATATATATTACTCTCTATTTTTAATATAAGACCTAGTTATTTGTAGTAAATAGATATCTTTCTGACTTTATTAATCATGTATGTATAAATTACAAATCAAGAGTAGCTTCTTAACATGCGCAATTACTATAAGGAGAACATGAGGAAAAAAAAAGATAAATATTAGAGACAAAATGAATCAGGGTCTTGTATTTATAACCAAATTAAAAATCAAATTAGTTCCTATATTAAAGATTGGAGATAGTATATGTGGTGTATATATTTGTATATCTTCCACTAAATCCCCTAATCATTATGCCGTTAGCTAGCTAGCTAAGATGTTAATCAAAAGTTACGCAAGCATCATCGCCCCCTGTAGCCTGGTCTAGTGATATGAAAAGCCTCTGGTAAATACGAGATCGAAAGTGATCTCTGTTAGTTTCTATCCTTTGCTCCTTCTAAAAAAAAAAAAAGAAAAGAAAGTGATACACCATTAAGAGAGATCAATTTTATGCATACAACTCTTACTTCGCTGGTCCTTAATATACGTAAGAGTTACTTAACTAATTTAGATATGTGAAGAAAGCTAAATAAATTTCAGGCCAAAAAAAAGCTAAGTAAGTTACTTAGTTTCATTAAATATGACATAATCTTTCTAAAATAACTCTACATAATATTATATGTATATTAATTTATAAATTATGTAAATTAGTTTAAAAAATGATAAATATAACATAGAATGAAAGATGTTATATTTATGATAGGAAGAGTATATTATAAATATTATTTATATACAATTCAATATTCTAGAATTATTTTGTATCATAATATATACTAATAGATCATACTCCGATCCCTACTGTCTTTAAGATAAAATCCATTTTATAGTGCAATTTAGACTATAAAATAGGTCTTATATTAAAGACATGATGAGTAATAGTGAAGAATTCAAAAAATTTCCTAGACAACAGATTATAATTCACTCTAAAATCTCTTACAATATTGTTAGATGGTGAAGTCCGTAGATTGTACGAAGGCTCCTGAAGTGTTGAAAACTTGAACAGCTAGTGATATTTATATTCATCAACTCCATGTTTTCGTGTATAAAAAATACTATATATATGTTTTCATATGATTTAATTAAATGTATTATTTTCAGTAGGCATTCAGCAGAAGCCAAATTTGCACGCAGATGTGTTTGTTTTTATCATGGTAAATCAAACACACTCAACATTGCATGTGATAATTGATTATATATATATTTGTTTGCATAGTTAAGAAATTGAAAATGAACAATACATGGACAAATTAAATGGCTTCTTATTTAGAGGATTAATAGATTAATTATATTACATTGATTGATAAATTAACACAACATATATTGTATTACTATGTTAAACTGAACGCGCATTTAAAGTTTAATAAAACCAATTAACTCTTAAGGCTAGCCTCATTAATTAGACCTAGCTGACCCTTAATTTCCCAATCAAGCTTTAAAGTTAAAACCCTAGCTAGGTATCATCACCAACCCCATATATCCAGTTTAAGGGCATTCAAAGTAGACCTGGTTCTGATTCACAACTCTATTCTATGTGTCTTGGTAGATGTTAAAAAGAAGTTGAGAATTCAGGCTTTGAATAAAATCTAGCAGGCATGCTTTTAAAAACATATATCTACAATATAGGCGAGGAGGATAATCTATTAATTTCTGGCAACAATACAAAAAATCTGACTAATAATAATTAATTAATATATATTTATGCGTAGGAGAGAAAAAATAGAAAACGATGGGAATTCCAGTGTGTTGTATACGTTGTATCAAGAATCCTCTAGGAGTGAGGTACACTTCATTAATTTTCATTATGAGGTGGGGAGGTAAAGGATTCATTCTTGGCTTTGACTATTATTATATTTGCTCTATCTTCCTTTAACCCATCTGCCAAGCTATGAATAACAGAATTCTCGATCCTACAAGCTTCCTCTACGAGAATCTCTGTTAAACACTTTTACCCAATACTAAGCTCAAATATTAACATTTTCACCAAAAAAAAATGTCTCTATATATATACACACCAGCTTCAAACCATAACAAAATTGTCTTCTTCCTCTTCTTCTTCTTGTCAGTGTGAGAGAGAGAGATCAGAGAATGGGACATGTGATGAAAGAAAAGGTGGTGAACATGTTGAAAGCATATGAAGATGGTATTTACGAAGAGACGGCCAAGTTTGGGGCATATTTCAGATCAAAGTATGGGATATCTCCGAGCATTGCAATATCAGTAATTCTGGGCTGTGTTTGCCTTTACATGTTGGTGAAGCGTCTCAGGGGATCAAAACAAAAGCGTGTTCTTCATAGATCAGGGTCAATTGCAAGCCTTTATGGTGGAGATCTTGCGTTGAAGAGACTTGATGACTATAATGCAGCCATTTCCATACCCTACGTTCTTGAACGCAGCGACCTTGTTTTGAAGGGTCTGCTTGAGGAAGAACATCTTGACTTGAAGAAACTCCAGGTAGGTTTGGCACAATATAATTATGCATCTTTCTTGTGTACGGTTTTTTCACCACGGAGAGAGAAATTGGTGTAGGGTTCGTGGATGGTTATATCTCTCTCGTTACAACATCATGATACTATAAAGAGAAAAATAGAGTGTGTAGATTATATAATGTGAATTAGCATTAGTTAACTAGCGGGAGTGAGATTATTTAATTTTATTTTAAGCAATATAATTAGTCTCGATTTAGTGTTAACATTGAACAGATTTATCAAGTCCCGTCTACATGGCTATTTTATAATAGGTTGGGTCACACATACATAAGTCTACATCCCTTTAGTTATCAGTGGTTTTATATGAACTCACATCACTTGTCTATAACTATCGCTCTTAAAACATATTCAGTGTTGGGCTATTGTGGTTGATAATTAGGGTTATAATGAACACGTGTCTTGAAAACGATTCTTTTTTTTTTAATTTGTAAAAACGAATGATATAATAATAATTAATGGTATTGAGGATTTGAAATTGTGAATGGAAGACCGTGACGGCAAGGCTGGAGATGGCCGGAAAGGAAGAAGAAGGGGTGAGATTACTGAATGAAGCAAAAACGAAGAATGCTCGATTGGAGAAATCTCATCATGTTTACGAGATTGAAATGTTACTCCTCGAAATGCTCATCTACATGGTACTATATTACATTATATTTTTAATTTAATTTAGTTTTTTTTTGGGTAAAATTTCTTTATTGATACTTTTCTTTATTCTGACGCTTGCAGGGACAACTTGATGAAGCTCAGAAATGTGAATGCATAAAATATCAAAAAATCATAGCATTTGATGCTCGACGTCCACTTTTCAAGGTACCTACTTCGACTCCATTCTTATATAATATCTGTAAGTGTGTGTGTGTGTGTGTGTAAGCTTAATAAACTACCTAAGTTTCCTCCAGTAGAGCAAGAAGACTTCTATTTTTAATTAATCTGAGATTACTACATGGAACTTATTTTTTCCTTGCATTTCATCGTAATTTTACGTGTACATATAGTTTTATATGATATATATATATATATAAAAGGTTCATACAATTTTTGATCTCTCAAATTTGTACAAATTTTGGTTTTGGTTTCTCAAGTTTCAAACTATATGTTTTGGCTCTTCAAAGAGCAAAATGATCTAGGCTTCTATTAAATTATAAGGATCAATATTTTAAACCAAAAAAAAAACTTGAAGGACCAAAATATATAGTTTAAAACTTAAGAGACTAAACTAAAATATTAGCAAATATGAGGGACCAAAAATTTTATTAACGCTATATATAATTTCATGCTTGGATAGTCAATATATAAAAGTTGCATGAATGTTTTTTTTATAACTTAAACTATTTCTCTATACTTAAGATGATATTTATTTAATGCTTAATGAATTATTTTTTGGCCGAATATTTACTTAATTATTTGATCACTCATATATATGCTGGATTTTGTGTGATTGGAAAAATTATATTGGCAGGCACTTATATATGCAATGCAGCAAAACGAAGAAAAGGCAAAAAGTAATTGGGATAAATTTGTAGAACTGCGGCAAGAAATCATGACAGTGGTGGGGAAGGAACAACTTGAACCTGGCATTAAAGATTTCGAAGGCTTCAAAGAGAAAGTCCAACATCTTCAAGATGAAATGAAAAAGAAAAAGAAAAAGCTCTTCTGAGTTTAATTATAAAAGCATACCCACACACACACACACACACCATACCCATTTCAGTTTATATCTATTTATTTATTAATTTAAATGATTATATATACGACTGATCTATATTTCATAGTTTCATCGCATTGATTTGTATATATATGATTGTGTGTCAATATTAAATTAAATAGTTTATTGACCTACTGATGTACGAGTTGCATGGATTGCATGCAACTATTGAACAAAGTACAATGTTTACCTCTCATGAGCATATACTCCAGCTTCCTAAAATCTCTCTTTTTCTTACTATTAATCTAAACTGCAAAAACAAAAAACTATTTTTGGTTTCTAAATTCTCCTATGATTCTGAATAAGAGAAACCAAGAAAAAACTTAAATTTCATTAACTTTATTTAAAATGAAATAATTTTCTAAACTCTATCAATATTTAATACACACAAAATTTTCAAAAAAAATTTATATAGCAATAAATTAAGGGTAAAATTATATATTTATGTAATAAATTTAAGAAAGTGACTTTTATTAAGAATAAAAAATACTCTGCCTCTCCATTATGTAATTAGGACAAAAAGAGTATAATCAATTTTATATGAATGTTCTTGCAGTTTTTTCATTAAAAAAAATAGTCTTTATGAAGTAGTTGCCAATCAACCGGGTTACCTTAACTTCCAATTATCATCAAATATCATCATCACATCAGTAACACATTACCGTGTCAATGTGAGTCATTTCCAACAACCTTGAGCAAAGCTGATCATAGTTTTAAAGTCCAATGAAAACTATAAGGATCTTAATGGGCCTGGATTTTCTCCCTTTTTCCCCCCGCAATCTTATATATATCCACTGTTAAATAAACTACGAATAGTTCAAATTTAATACTCCTTCAGTACTTAACTTAACATAAGACTTAATTATTAAATTAATTTTAATCCTAAATATAAGACATATTTCTCATATTTATTAATTTTTTCTAAATTATCCCTATGGATACTCTCTCAACCATAATTAAGTAGAAGAAGGAGATAGGATATTAAGAAAGATGATTATGGTGTTTTAGAAAAAAACGTGTCATATTTATTATAATTAACTTATTCACCTAACTTTCTTAATCTAATCAAATTAGTTAAATAGGTCTTATATTAAGGACTAGAGGACTATTAAATTAAGGTACATTCAACACCCTGAAATATTTTTGAAAGTATATCTAGTATTCTAAAATATTTTGTTGTGCATTGTTGCTCCTAACATATTAAAAATGGAACAATTTCATCCTAACTTAACGGAATCACAAATGTTCGTTGACCCCCCCCCCCCAAAAAAAAAAGCTTGCATCTATGAAATTAAACTGTTAAAGTTTGGTATGTGTAGTTCATAAATGCAGGATAAAAAAAATTAAGTGCTAAAATATTACAATAATAATTTTATAAAATATTAAATATGAAATATTTTTGCATCTAAAGATGAAAAGGAGAAAAGATAGAATCTGCTTCCGCGAGAATTTTTGACAGTGAGGAGCCTATGCATCTATATTTCTCAGGATGGGCAAATTCACAAATAATCACTGGAAGTTGTCATTTTACTTACTTCCCTTTAATAAATGGACCTTCACTTCAAGCTCATATTGTTATGGGCTTACAACGAAGCCCAACCGTAAAGTGTTGCCTTACACACAACACACACACACACACACACGTGTATATATAGAGAGAGAGACACACACATATTATAATCAAAAGCCTTCATTCGTAATTAAATGCAAACGAACACTGAAAATGATGTGTTTTGGGGAAAAAAAACGCATGGGTTCATTCGGGAATTCGTTTTAGTTTCTAATTAATTAGAAAATTTACATGATTTTTGCCTCCTAATTTTAGTGAGACCAATTAATTTTCGTCCAATCATATAAAATTTTTAATTGAGGAAAAATAATTGCATATTTGGCTGCTAAATATTATGTTAGTTAACAAATAGTTAGAGTATAAATTTAAATAATATAAAAATACTCATGTTAGAACTAATGGCTTGAATTAATGTTACAATACTCAGACTTTTGTTTTAGGTTTTCGTCATGGACTCACCCCCACAATTTTATATTTATTTTTATAGGGTGCAAAAACATGTCTCCTGGCTCCTGCAGGAAAAAACATTGTCTTCTTGATATTTCATTTGTTTACGTGGACAAAACCATAAAAAAAGAAAGAAAGAAAAATATGCCGACACAAGAATATAAGAATGAAACACCCAGAATAAAGGTATTCTTTGAAAGGGGGGTTAGTATCAATTCTTTTAAAGGCGTGCTTCTTTCCATTATGAGTGAGATAAAGGGTTATATTCTTGATTTTCTTCTTTACCTATCTGCCAAGCAACGAGGTTTCCTTGCCAGAAACTACGAATAATAATTTAATCTTAACTGAGTCACAACTAACTCATCATTTCCCCATATATATATAAATATACATATATAACCTGAACTTGCACTTCCACCAGAACCATATAATCTGCTTTAATTTCTGCTGCGTGATTGTGGGAGAACATATCTTCTTCTTCTTTTTCTTCTTATCAGTGCGAAAGAGAGAGATCAGAGAATGGAACTTCTGATAAAGGAAAAGGCGACGAACATGTTGAAAGCATATGAAGGTGGTATGTACGAAGAGATGGCTAAGTTTGGGGCATACTTCAGATCATGGTATGGGATATCTCCCAGCACTGCAATATCAGTAATTCTGGGCTGTGTTTGCCTCTACATGTTGGTGAAGCGAAGCTGGGAACCAAAGCAAAAGGCAAAGACAAAGCCCAAGATTCTTGAAAGGTCCAAGTCAATTGCGAAGCTGTATGGTGGAGATCTTGCATTGACCAGACTTGACGACTATAATGCAGCTGTGGCCATACTCTGCTTTCTGGAACGCAGTGATCTTGTTTTGAAGGGTCTGCTTGAGGAAGAACATCTTGACTTGAAGAAGCTCCAGGTTTGGTACAATTAGCTAATTAGTTGATTCAGTTTTCTTATTTATATATGCACTGTATCTTTGTTGTGCATGGGGGCACTTGTGTGTGGTTATGTCTCTCTTTGTTCCTACAGAAGGGAAAGATAACCAATTGTAAAATCTCTCTCCCTCTCCCTCCCTCCCTCCCTCCCTCCCTCTCTCTCTCTCTCTCTCTGTGATCTTCCCCCTCGCTTCATCCTGAAAACTAAGGAATTCTTGCCTAGAACCACTTTCCTTTAGCCGATACGATCAAGAGTTTTAGATGAATCGATTAAGTCGAATTTTATATATTCCTTTTTCTCTTATTGAGCCTGAAATACTGTTTGTTGGATTGTGTATAGTTTATATGTAAATATTTTATTTACTTGTATATTAGTGCCTTTTTATTCAAAATTTGTTTTAATTATAACTGGCCATTTGATTTTGAATTGACCCAGTTTAAAGCACTAACCTTTAAACCATTATCTTAACTAGTGGTTTATTCATTACTCTGATTTTCAGTAGTCATAACAAGCGTGGTTTGCCTAAAAAAGTCATATTTTCTTCAAGTCCTCCGACCTTAGAGTGTAACACGCTTAATAAACAAGCTGGTCCATCAAGCCGAAGCCAAATTACTAGCTCATCCCATCATGCATACATCTCTACATTCATTATGCGACTATGTTAATAAAATGAAAATAAAAATTTTGTTTTTCTGTGAAATATTGTGAATGGAAGAGTGTCACGGCAAGGCTGGAGATGGCTGGGAGGGAAGAAGAAGGAGTGAGATTACTGAAAGAAGCAAAAAAGAAGAATGCTCGATTGGAGAAATCTCACCATGTTTACGAGATTGACATGTTACTCGTCGAATTGCTCATCTGCATGGTATTATATTCTATTTTTCATTTCATTTTATTTTCCCCCCTAAAATTTCTTTATTAATTTATTGACTGATCATCATGAGGATAACTTTCCTTTGTTTCTGACGCTTACAGGGAAAACTAGACGAGGCCAGGAACTGTGAATGCTTGAACCAGCAAAAAATGATGGCACTTGATGCTCGGCGTCCACTCTTCAAGGTGCTTCATCTTTTTTAGACTCAACATGTATAAAAGAAAAAATTACAATAAGGTCCCACATAAGAGAATTAAATACCAAAAAACCTCTTGAAATCATCAAATTATTCTGAAGTCCCAAGAAACCTCATTGCAAGATATTTTATTTGTTTAATTATCAAATTATCCTTTTTTTTAAGGTATGCATTAACCACTAAAAGTCCAATCGTTAATGACTTAATATGTAATGATTAACAACTACCGCGACAGTTATTGACAACTCATGCATTATTCTTTCGTGATGTATTGAGAAAATGTGTTGTTAATACTTGCCATAATAATTGTTAATCATTATACCTTAAATTGTTAATGACCGCTCTTTCAATTGTCATATACTTTTAAAAAATAAGGGTAATTGGATAATTAAACAGATAAAATCTCTTGCAATAAGGTCTCTAGAGACTTCAGAATAATTTGATAATTTCAAGAAATTTTTTTGTATTTAATTCTTTTGAATGAGACCTTATTGCAATTTTTCCTATATAAAAATACACTGGAAAATATTATTTTTAGACTTCGAATTCATTTTAGTTTTAATCTCTGAAATTTGACCTTATTTTGATCCACCTAAGATTTTTGGTCCCTGGAACACTTTTTTTAGTCCCTAAAATAAGGTTTTAAGGACCAAATTCATCACTGATTTCAAAATTTTAGTGACCAAAACCAAATTCAACGCAATGTTTTGAAGGCAATAATATATGGAATGCGTGAGGACTGGGGGAAAGCAGAAAGTTTTTGGGATAAGTTCGTGGATCTGAGGGAAGCAATAAGGACAATGATGGGGCAGGAGGAACTGAAACCTGAAATTAGGGATTTCAGGGACTTTGAGGAGAAAGTGAAAGATTTTCATAAGGAAATTGATCGGAGATCGTCGCAGTCTGCAAGGCTGTATAGTGGGGATGTTTCTTTGAGAAGACTCAAGGACTTCAATAAGCCCTTATCTAATCA